TCAAATGTCAACTGCCTGAAAATGTGTTTCCTGTAAGACTTTATTGCCCATACTGATCTTTCAAGAGTGTAATAGACTTGCGAATACCCTGTAATTGTTAGAGAAGTGCTTTGAAATGGTCGCATGTCTGGCTGCAAATGCGTTTCTTGCATAGCTTTACAGAATTGACGTGTGTGCATACCTTAAACTGTCTGTTAATCAAGTGGAGTAGGCGTAGGTATACCCTGTAACTGCTTGCGAATACGCTGTAAAAGTTAGTAAATTGCCTTAAAGTCGTTGAATATATATCTCTTCAAATGTACTTCTGCTTTGATGTGTGTGCATACCTTAAACAGTCTGTTAATCAAGTGGAGTAGACGTAGGTATACCCTGTAACTGCTTGATGAGAGCGTTTAAGTGCTGGCAAATTAGCTTAAATGTGTTTCTTGTACGACTCTATTGCTAATACATATATGTGGACAGATTGATCTTTACAAAAGCGTAGTAGACTTGCGAATACCCTGTAAAAGTTAGTAAATTGCCTTAACATCGTTGAATATATATCTCTTCGAATGTGTTTCCTGCTAAGTACTTCTGCTTTGAAGTGTGTGCATACCTTAAACTGCTTTTTAATCAAGCGGAGTAGACATAGGTATACCCTGTAACTGCTAGATAAGTGCCTTCAAATGGTCTCTACTGCCTCCATATTTGTGTTGTTTGACTACCTTTACTGTCAATACATATGATTGAGCTGGCTTCTTACTAACCTTGATAGAGCATAACAGGCTGGGAGATACCCTGTAGCGTGAGTGTCTGCAGTGCTCTGTATTTTAGGTGCACCTTTCGCTCAGTGTAGCTTCGTTTTACAACACTTTTGGCTAGCAGATTGCGAGGCTGACCCAAAGCAGTTTCAATTACTGCCAATGCAAGTGGTGTGCGGGTGTGTTTGCGTGTGTATGGCATTGGCCTTTAAAGTGCCAACAGCAACAACGACGACTGGAATAAATGCCTTTGAGCTGCTCATTTGTCGATTTGCGGATTGTCAGTCGTCATTTATGCCCCGCAGCGAAATGCTGCTCTAATGCGAATGCGAACGTCTGCGGCTGAGTGTGTGTGCGTGTGTGTGTGTGTGTGTGCCAAGCAGACAAAAGCACAATCAGCTAAACACCCACATAACACGCCTATCGAGCGAGACAGAGCGAAAAAACTGTATATAATCCATGTCAAAGTGATTTTTCACCTCAAGGGCAAATTTAACACAATAATTTGCACAATTTGTCAAAACAACCCTCGGGCTAAATGGTATCATAAACCACAACAGCAGGCAGTCTAACACACACACACACACACACACACACACACACACACACACACACACACACACACACACACACACACACACACACACACATAGAGTTAGTCAAAAAGTCAGACAGTTGATTGAGCTGCGTGCAGTTTGGCGTCACGCCTTCAACTACACATATATATATATATACCCAGTAGAGTGCGCAGAGTGATAGGGTATGCACAGCCTGCGCCTGTGATGTCACTTGCAGTACCTACGCTTAAGCCTAATTAGCTGCTCATTATATGTTAACTTCATTCATCTCATATATATTATATAGTTAGATACCCTATGAAGTCGTCAAGCAGTTGGATTTATGACACTAGCGAGTGGCTAGGCTAGGGTATACACTATATCGTATATTATAAGTATTCTATGTGCACAACTTTGCTTGCAACCAGTCAGGCAGCTGCAGTTCGAGACTCACTTAATACCCTACAATGAGTTAATTTTATTTTTATTTAATTCTTTATGTAACTCTCTCTGAGTTTTAAGCTTAAATTCAAATAAATTCAAATTCTTATAGATTTTTTCTTAAATTTTAAAATGTCAAAACTTTTTAGATTGTTCTTTGCTTTCATATTTGAGTTTGGATTCATCAGGCTGATCTCTCAGTTATGTCATATATATTTATCATAAATATTTATATACATATACATATCATATATATATATTTCTCCTATTACAGTACGATTTAATCGCATCAGAGAAAGCTATATCTAGCGCTATTTTAGAGCTAAAATGGTCAGATTTGGCAGCTGCTGCAGAGCTAGAACTAAAGAGTGTATATGGGCGTGGCGTGTGTTTGAATCATGAAAGCGCATTATGCTGTGGGTTATGCCTAGCAAATCTGTTTTGCTTTTATGAATCGAAAACTCAAGTGGAGTATGAAAGCATTCGGCATCGGCATTTGGCAAATACTCGAGCCAAGCAAACTGAAGTCGTTTTTTGCTGAGACGCCATCAAATTGATGGAGTTTTTAATTTGCATTGATTTATTGGGAATTTGCTTTATTTAACCAAAAGTCGTTTTAATTTTTTATTAAACAAATTATTTATTTAATTTACAAGCCGAAACTCGATTTCAAATTGATTTGCGCTTGATAAAGTATCTCTCTCTCTCTCGCTCACTCTCCCACTCTCCATCTCTCTCTCTCTCTACTTTCTGGTAAATAAACATGCCAAAAGGTAAATTTCAAGTGTCGACGAGCCGGAAAAATTTCACTTTACTTAATAAAACAACAAAGAGAGAAAAAAATAATAATAAATTGCAATTTATGAAAAATTCAACATTTTCCGCATATTCAAATGATTTTTGCTCTTGCTCTTCCTCTTACTCCCTCCACTCTACGCCGTACCAAAAATATAATTGGAAATTGGGAATTCAGTTCGAATTTTTTGATCCGAAATCTTCTTTCCTGGCACTTATCTAATTAGAGAAGCAAAAACCACTTTTTGCCCATCCGACAAATATTTGCCTCAATTAACTCTAAATTCTTGGTATTATTTTTATTGTCTGCAATTTGTAGAATTCGACTGTGATTTGCCAACATTTTTCTTAATATATTATAAATAAATTCCATTTAATTATTCGCATCTAATTTACAAAAAAAGCGAGGGAGTGAAAGAGAGAGAATCGTTAATTATTTTCAAATTTGCGCTATGCTCCTCTAAGATGTGCTAAGAGAGCATATTAGTTTTTAATTTAAGCAGCTCTCTCTCTCTCTCTCTTTCACTCTCTGTCTGTATGTCTCCCCTCTGTATGTCTCTCTCTGTTTTTCTTTATCTCTTTTTAGGTCTATCTCTGCAGCAACTCCACAATAATTAAATTGCCAGAGTTGGCGATTTCAGCTCTCATTCTGGGATGGATATAGCTATAATTGATTTACGTTCATTAGGGAACAGTAAGGTAGCATTATTCAATTTTGCCACACCTCAAAATATGCCAAGTGTCAAGTTCAAGCTTCAATAGCAACGAAACGAACAGCAAGACAATCATTGCTCAAAGCCAATATACTCCTCTCACTACGTTGAACGAGCATTGGAATATGAAATTCCATTTGCATTTGCTGCAATGCCTCGAGAAAAACCGGCTGAATGCAATTTCAGTTATGCATGGCCTAAGCATCAATCAGTCAGTCAGTCAATCAATCAGCTTACAAAAAAATTTAATTTCAATTTATGAAAATGCAAAAGGAAAATATATGGAAAATGTGTTTATAGTTGGAGTTAGTTGCTCTTAGAGAGTGGGCACTTTTCGCTGAGATCTGGGCTAAACTGGGCAAAACGAACTAAAGCTGCGACTTTAAGTTGTGGAGGCGTGGCAGCTCGATGTCTAGGTCTGTGTGTGTGACAAGTGGAGAAGGCTAGAAGAAGCAAAGAGTTAGAAGAAGAAGACGAAGAGGAAGAGGAAGAAGAAGAAGAAGTAGTCGAATGTCTGTTATTGTGCAACAAAATGCATTAACTCAAACAGTTGCAACTGTTGCAGCGCAGCATTTGCTGAAGTTGCAACTGGAAACTTGTCTTCCCTCTGGCTCCCACGCTTTTCATCTCTGTCTGTGTGTGTGGAATGTGCCTCGCACAACATTTTACATTCGATGACGTTTTCATTGCCAGATGCAACGTCAACAATAACAGAAAATAGAAACAGAAAATGGAAAATGGAAAATGGCAAATGGAATAAAGTAGAAAAACAGCTTCAGTTCGCATGAATAACTGACCAGGCGGCAGACTGAATGACTGACTGACTGATGTACTGACTGATTGACTCAATGATGGATTGGCTGACTCAATGATTGTGTGATTGACTGCCGCAGTGATGGGCTGACTGACTGAATGGCTGACTGATTGACTGACTGATGGAGTGACTGAATGGTTGACTGATTGTTTTGTTGATTTACCGAGTGAGTGCGTGAAGGAGTGATTGAATGACTGATTGATTGGCTGACTGCATGAGGGATTCTCTGATTGAATGATTGATTGACTTACTGTCTGATTGTCTAAATATTCTAACAGCTTTAGCTGCCATTTCTTTCACTCAATCTCTCTACTTTCAGTTTTCATATATACCCTGTAAATATCTTAAAGGCTTTAAGCTTCCTTGTTCAATATTATGAAGAGAGCTAGAAGTAATTCTTTTTTTTTTTATAATAAAATTAAGAAGAAAATGTTAGTTAAAAAATGTTATTAATTTTTTTCGATGAGATTGGAAGAGAGACAGAGGTATTTCAATAAAAAATAAAAGAAAAATTTTTCGGAACATGTTAAAAATGTAGGATATCATCTAGTCTATCATTATTTCTGTCTGTCTCAATATTGAGACTTAAGCTTTATCTGTTAACAGTTGTTAGAGTCTAGACTTGAAATTTTAAATAAATTGAATACAGGGTATGTGCTAGTTGAGCAAGTTTACTGTCTATAACTAGTCAACAATTATTTTTGATCTCTCTAGTCTTTCGTTAAACTGAACTTTGAATCATTTGAAGCTAGGGTATCTGCTAGTTGGGCAATTGGTTTGGCTGAGAGTCACAAATCTGTCGACTTCTTGAGAGTCTTCCTTGTGGATGATCAAGTCAAGAGTTGAAATTGAACTAAAACATGACTTTATTGCAGGGTATCTGCTATGGCGCCGTCTCTATGTTTTTTGGCTTTATTTTGTGATTGCATATTTCACTTACCGGAACTGCAAAGCAGAACGATTGCTGAGCAAGCGATAAATCCAGCTGCGGAGAAGCAGAACGTCTGTCCGTGCAGCGCCATGATTGCAGTGGGCGAGCGGCTGCGGGGGGACGGCGGCGGCGGGGGGTCGGGGGTGTGGCCTGATGTACTTGGGGTGGACCAGCAGTTGATGAAGCTGTTGTCAATGTTGTTGTTGAGCGTTTTATCTAGTTGTCAGCTAATGCACAAGAGATCTCACTCTCACTCTCACACTCACTGTTGCTCACACTCTGCCTCTGTCTCTGCCAGTTGCACTCGGTATGGCTGTCTCTTTTGCTGGCTATAGTTTTGGCCAAGTCAAGTTCTTATTCAAAAAATGGCATCGAGCTGAGTTTTTGAGTGCCGAATACGTTTGCCAGCTTCATCGAGCTTTGGCATGCTGAACAACAGCAGCTGCAGCTGCTGCAGCCGCTGCAGTCCTTTGGCCACATTCTCTGCCTCTGCCTCTGCCCTTGGCACTGCCGCACGCCGTGTCCTGGGTCCTGGGTACCGTGTCCTGTGTCCTGTGTCCTGCTGCACATGCAAATTTTAATTTCCGTTGCTTTCTTCGATGTGCACACAACTGACATCCTTCATTTCCGTCCCGCAACACACACAAAACTTTCTTTTACTTTCTCTCGCCAAATTCGCTTCTCTTTTTCAATATTTTTCACTTAACAAAAAAAAACCAAAAACAAAAAAAACTTTTCGCGTTTTCTTCGATTCAATTCAATTAATTCCCATTTTATTTTGTTTTCTTTATATTTTTGCGTTTCTATTCATTTTCTTTTTTTTTAACTGAAAATTTAAAAAAAAATTTGATTAATATTTTTTATTTTTATATACTTTTTAAATAATATATTTAATTTATTTGTATGAGTAATTATATTTCAATAAAAAAAAATTGGTATTGATCATTTTATAATTTTGTTTTAATTATTTATAATATTTTATTTTATTAATATTATTATTTATTTTTATGAGTTTATAGTATAAGTTTTTTTTTAATTTTTATTTATTTTTTAATTAAAACTTAATATTTTATAAATAAGTTTAATACAAAATAAATAAGAAATATTTCAAAATTTAATTTTTAATTTCTGTTGCATTTATTGTATTTTAAAAATGTTTTTCGTTTATTTTCGATTTATAAAACTTATTTTTTTAGCTTACAATATGATTTAAAAGTTTCTCTCTTTTATTTGCGATCAAATTTCGCGTTATCTGTTGGCTAAGTGTTTCTTTTAATAGGGAAACAGGCGCACGCGTCCGTTTGTATCTGCATCCGAAATGAAACTGAGCTGCGTGCTTGCTTAACGGCTGATAGCAGCAACAGCAACAGCAGCAGCTGCAGCGGCAGCGACAATAGCGACAGCGACGGCGACAGCAGCAACAGCAATCGGCAGCCACTTCGTCTTCGTCTATGTGCTCGGGGCAGCGACAGCCGAAGCTGCCGAAATGGCTCGTCAAATACTGGTGGCTGGCGTATAAGTCAAACTTGTATTGAACTATTTCTGTGTGGGAAATTTGATAAAAGCTGGGAAATTCAGCTTTGAGCATGTGAGAACAGTACGTACAATTTATAATCTCAAAATATAAGTTAATATTAAATAAGAATGAAATTGTTGATTGACTAAAATGAGAAATAGTACATTTAGAATGAGAAAAATAAAATATTTTATATAAATTATTTATTTCAATTATATGCCATTTGCTTGCCCACAGCACTAACTGTACCCAGCTCGCTGTCAAACTGTTCTCGAAACAGTATTTTAGCCGGCTTTCGTCTGCTCTTATACTGCTCTTGCTTATACGAAGCTCTTCGAAATTGCGCTCGTCGCGAATCGCTGGCTGCGCTGCCGACGTTAACGCGACTTGTGTCGACAATTTTTCAACGAATTACAACGCTTGACGATGCGCTCGCAGCCACGTGCTGCCGCTGCCAGCGTCGGTAACTGCCGTTAGCTAAACACAGCGTAATATAGCTGCTGCGCTTGCTGTCTGCTGCGTGCTGTTGTTGTTGTTGTTTCTGTTTTCTTTTATGCCGCTGTCGCTGTCGCTTATCAGTGGGCGTCGTCGTAGGCAGCGCAAAACAACGCTACGTACCCAAACCCCTCCCCTACCGACCTAACCATCTCTTGCTACTCTCCCGCCCACACGCTGTTCGTAATGTGCCTTGCGCCTTGCGAGAAAAGCTTTGATATAAATTCTTATTGGCGCATTACAAATTGTCGTCTTCGTTCTGCATGTGTGAATGGCTGCGTGTGAGTCTCTGTGTGTGTGTGTGTGTGTTTGTGTATATAATGTAATCACTCACATAACGCAAACATGTTCAATCACACACACAGAGAGAGAGAGAGAGACAGACATCTCGCTTATTGTTTGTTTTGTCATTAGATTTCGCGCATATTTTGACGTAATTAGATTTTCACCTCATTTGCATACAAATGATGCCAAGCACAAAAATCAAATCCACCAACACGAAAAAAATTAGTCAAGAATCATGTTCCATTCACATATTTTCACGTTTTCATTGTCTTTTGATATTTTCATTGTTTTCTCGTCGACGGCCTGTGGAAGAGTCCCGATTGTATGCATTCATAAATTTGACGCTAATCAACTGGCTTTTGTTTCTTTCAGCTGTGGCATTTTTTTACCCATTCGAACTTCTTCCTCTATCCCTTCCTTCACTCTCTCTTCTCCCACTACTCTCTGTTGCCTTGCCACATATGACTGCCTTAACTAAATTACAGCATCTCATTATCATTATCATTATCATAACTCTCACTCGCTCGTCATTTTCGGCGAGTAACGAGTGCAGACTTCCCAGTCTTTAACCGTAATATACTTCAACTTATCGATTATCACTCGTTCTTTCTATCTGCTTACTAACCAAAATTTCTCGTTGCTCGTTCCCTTTGACTGTCTACTCGTTAGTTTCAGTTCGCTAGCAATAACTCCCTATTTTCCACTCGACATCTAATAATTATTGCCACTCGCCAGAGGAGAACTCTCGGCTCTCGTTACTCTCTTTATCGACAGCTCAACACTCGCCACTCGATACTCTCCACTCTTCACTAGTTATCATCAACTAGCTTCTCTTTACTCATTACTCGTTACTCGTCATTCTTAACTCGTCTCTCGTTAGTTTCTTTTCCCACTACCCACCGTTCACCACTCGCCACTCTTTACTCTCCACTCTTCATTAGTTATCCTCAACTCGCTACACTTTACTCGTCTCTTTTCCCACTACCTACTACTAGCCACTCGTTACTCTCCACTCTCCTCTAGTTACTCTCCGCTCGCCACTCGCCACTCGCCACTCTCCACTCGTCATTTTGATTCTTCCCATGTTGATATAACTTCATTTTCGAAGTCAGTTTATTAAATGAAGTCATACGGAAGCGGGAAATAAAAAGGGTAATGATGAATAGAGAAATATAAAATCTATACGAACGCAATCAGAGCGAAGAGCTGCTAATTTAATTCAAATGTCTCAGCTCAGTTTGAATGGTGTCTCGTTGCATTATTAAATTCGCGCCGCAATTCAATCAGAGACCGCAACGCACAACTCAGAGCCTCGCACACCTGAAAGGGCCCAAACCTCAAACGCCCTTCGCCCGAAACGCTGTCCGCAGAAACCAAAACCAATCACTTGACATTACAATTGAAAGCCAAGTCAGACGCGCCCCGACGTCAACAACAACAACAATTTCCATATTAAATTTAACACTCGGAATGGACTTTGCAATGCTCTATTTCGTCCCGCGTTGAGAGTTATGGAAATTTATAGAGAATTTATGAATTGGATATGGAATATGACTACATGTACTATTCAAAAAGCTATACGATCTATAAGATTCTATGTGTCTATATGATCTTTATGATCTATATGATCTATATGAACTATATGATCTATATAATCTATATGATCTATATGATCTATATGATCTAGTGGATCTATATGATCTATATGATCTATGTGATCTATATGATCTATATGATCTATATGATCTATATGAACTATATGATCTATATGATCTATATGATCTAGTGGATCTATATGATCTATATGATCTAGTGGATCTATATGATCTATATGATCTAGTGGATCTATATGATCTATATGATCTATATGATCTATATGATCTATATGATCTATAATTTAAATGGGTATCTGATAGTCGATCACTTGCAATTGCAATCTGCAGCAGTTTGAGATTGATTAAGGCTTTGAGCTAGAGTAAAAAATTTTGGTTTGCCCTTTGGGTTTCTCTGGCGTCTGGCGCTTGTTGTGGCTGCCAGTTTACACCTACCATTCACACACACTGTCACACACACACACACACACATAGAGACGCTGCATTGAATGCAATTGAATTGAATTCGTGGCAGTTTTAATGTAATTAGTTTTTACACCTTGCCAAACAGACACGATTGCTGCCACAAGGTGGGCGTGAGGGCAGGAGGCGTGTGCAGTTTGCTGAGTCCTTGAAGTGTATAGCAGTTCCCCGCACTGGCCCCGCACTGGCCCCGCACTGGCCCCGCACTGGCCGCCATCGTCTGCCTCCCTCTTTTGTCTGCGTGCATTTTCTAATTAAAAACGCCAACGGCAATTGTTATTGGCCGTGGCTAATTGGCAACAAGATAAATCGCTGTTGCAATTTGCCGCCGCGAATTATGCGACAGCAACAATTTGGGGGCCAAGGTCCAGCAGCAACTAGACAAGCTACCAGCCCCACCCACCCCCTTTCCATTTGGCAAGTGCAAAGCCAATTGAAGTGTGGCTCATAACAAATTTTTCTCGCTTTTACGACTTTTTGGTCGCACATTAAAGCTGCAAGGTGGTCGGCATAGAGCGTGAAGTGGGGGCGGGGCTTGTTGCAAGCGTTGCCAGCGAATTTCAAATTAATATAACTAAAAGGTTTTTGCACGCTGCGCGTAACTGACGCTTGTTTCGCTTAAAGCCCAACCACAACAACAACAACAACAACAACAACAACAGCGACTACAACCTGAACTCACTTACACTAACTGCTAGCTGGCCTCCCCCACACAGACGCCCTCCTTACCTGCCCTCATCATTCTTTTCATTTTTTTTACTATTTTTTTATTTATTGATTTCCACGCGCCCAAAATAAATAGAGCTGGAAAATAGTAGCGAGACGAAGGCAGATGTAAAGGAAGACGCTTACGCGTTTGCCTGCGGCCTGCTTTTAGTTTTCTTTGACGTTTCACAACACTCACACACACACACACGCACACAACCTCAGTGCGTATTGCTTTAACCCTTGATTGAATGGCAATCGAATGTTTTTCCCGCTGTCCAGCTGCAAAACATTAAAAAAGCTCTTAATGCGCAAATGAACGAACTAGTTCCAGTTCATTTATTGCTGTCGATTCACGCCGTTGACAGCACTTTAAAGGCAAAAGTTCACAAATCAAAGAGACTTCAAGTTGCTTTTTGGTAAACAATCTGGCAACGCTTTGGCTGGTTTTTCTTTGCTTCTAGAACATGGGTTTTATTTAAAGGCAGCTGAAAATACTTTTATTTTCTCCAATGATGCATGCTTACTAATGGCAACACTCTTGAAGGTGGACACCTTTTTTTTAAGTCTTTGTCAAGTGGCAACTCTCTTTACTCTCTATTAAGTGGTAACTCTCTCTCTCTCTCTCTTTAAATTGAGCACTAATCGTTTTATTTTC